TAAATTGATAAAAAAAAATAAAAATAAGAAGAAATAATTAAAGAAATAAAATGTGATAAAAAAGTTAAAAAAATTAAGAAACACAGGGGCGCTAGCGAGCAGCCGAACAGCATGGACGCTTGCTAACTCGACTCCGCACCACCCGGGCATGTGACCGTTAACATAACGATCACCTCACCTTCCACTCCCAACCTTACCGCCAGTCTCCCCTGACCCTCCGGCACCGCTATGGGGAAGAATCAACCGCCGGCCCGCTCTCAGCAAAAGACGCCGAGCTCCTCAAAATCGCGGCCTGAGTCCAAGATGGCGACTGCTCCGTCCTCACCAGCCGGCCACTCGCCTGAACTGCTGGAGTCGGCGAATGACTCATGAAATGACAGCTTCCCCCTCCAGCATCCAGAGCAACAGCAGGGGACTGAAGTCAGGGATGCAGCTCTCCTAGACAAATTCAAGCTGCTGCTGCAGAGAGAGCTGAAGACTGCCACTGATAAGCTGGCAGCACACCTATCCAAGGACATCAGAGAGCTGGGAACCAGAATCCACGACGTGGAGTACAAGGTAGATGACATTGTCACAGTGCTAGACTCACATGAGGAGGACCTACACAATGTTAAATCAGACCTTGCCACAGCAATGCTTAAACTTGAGGACCTTGAAAACAGGAACCGCAGGGGTAATCTACGCATTCGCGGTGTACCTGAGCACGTGGACGATTTACAATCCACCGTCACGGCCATGTTTCAAGAGATACTCCCAGGCTTCCCTATAGAACGCCTTGAGATGGACCGCGTGCACCGCGCCCTAGGCCCAAAGCGGGCAAACGGACCCCCACGCGACATTATACCTAAACCCACGTATTATAAAACGAAAGAGGCAATTGCACAGGCAGCATGGAAACAACGCACCCTGCGTTTCCAGGACTTTGAATACCAAATTTACCCTGACCTGGCGCCACAGACCCTCCTGAAACGGAAAGCTTTGAGACCCTTCCTCATTACCCTGCAGCGCCATGCTATCAACTATAAATGGGGGTTTCCGCTGAAGGCCACCTTCATCTACGAGGGCAAGGCGTACTCCTTCTCCTCCCCCGAGGAAGCAGGTCCCCTCCTGGAACAGCTACACCTGTCGCTCGCGACAGCCTCAGACGTGGCCCCACCGCCGTCCTCCTCTCCACCGAATGACAGACACCTGGCCCCCCTGTGGGAACATCGACCCCGCAACACCCGAGATACACCTGGGAAACTGCGCCCGCAACCTCGGCCTGACTGACCAGAGGACACCATGCCCTCCCCGACCGAAGGGTTGAGAAGCCAACCTTCCCCTGTTTTTTGGGACTCCACCGACCACTATTCTGACTGCACCCGTCAAGAAACCGTTTCCTGTGGTCCGTGAGTAAACCTGACCCCCGTATGCGGTTCTGGGACATATCTCCCCTCCCCCCCCTAGAGAACTACCGCAAAGTTTCACGTGTTTATCGTTGTGGTTATCAGTTATTCTCCACTTGTTACTCATTGTGTTACTGGAACCGCCATGTGCCCGCCTTTGCTTGACTACTCCATCGGCCCTACCGAGATACCAACCGGCCGCACTTCCAGTTCCTATGACGGAATGGCACAGATGGCCCTAGGGCCCAATGTCCGGGATCTGCCACCGGCCTATAGCCTGGCACCTTTACCTAGTATACTATGCCAATTGTACCTGTTCTTGTTGATAACGCTATTGTTACCTTGTTTATTGTTTGCCTATTGCCATGCAGGCTGAGATGCTGGCATTGTTTAGCGTCCCATGGGCTCCACGCTGCTCCTCGTCACCCACCTACAACAGTCCTCGCTGTGGAGACACGGCGGCGATGGTTGCCCCGGGGATGAGGTACAGGGTTGGCCCTGTGAATACGAGGTTATGTTTTTTGTTTTTTACCTAGGCTGCACTAACATACCTACCTGTTCTCCACTCATGTTGTATCACACAGTGACAACTTTCCAACCCCTTTTTACCCCCCCCCCCCGTCAGATGATCACTTAACTAATGACTACACTACGTCCTGCCCTCCACGCCCGGGTGGACAAGGCACCTCCACACCCCTTGAAATGCTACTGGGCATTTCTCCTCCCACTGCTTAGCTATATTGCTGATATGGAATGTTACTACTCTTCACTCTTCTAGCTATACCTTTCCCCAGCTCTCCTCTCACTCTAAAAGGGAAAGTGTTTCACTGAACACTTTATTTCAACGCTTTTATAATATTTTTTTGCATGGATCGTTCATATATTGTTATATAATTGATGTTTTTACACAGTGGTTGAATTCTTTTATTGTCCTAATCATTATCTGTTTTTCCACAGTACAATTGAATTATCAATTGAATTTTTTATTTTGCTTCATGATCCTATTAAGATACAGCACTTGGTTTTAGGCTAGACCGCTTAAACCCTAATTTCACTATTTTACCTGGTTGCACTAAGTTTTATATTTTATACCTTTAGCGCTTTGATATATATATATATATTTCTCGATCACTGAAAGGATTCTTCCATCCTCTTTTAGAGCTGCTTTAGGTCTTAATTTGCAACACATATTTCCACTTTAGTCTCCTTTCCAGAAGCGCGGATTATATTTTTCTCATTTTTCACATCTTTATACAGCCCAACTTTCTCCCGTCCGTCGGTGACGCCCGCATTCTCTCTGCCTCCTGGTCGGACCATTCCCCTGTGTCCCTCACTTGCAAATCCCTATTTCCTGCCTCTTCCCAATTCCGCTGGAGATTGAATGACTCCCTTCTCTCCTTTGCTGACTCTGCCCAACACATTCAACTGTGCCTTTCCCACTTCTTTGCGGAGAACGCTTTGTCGGTCACTTCCCCGATTTCTGTCTGGGAAGCCCACAAAGCGACCTTACGGGGCGAGCTCATCAGTCTAGCAACTCGCCGAAAGAGGGAACGGACCAAAAGGGTTTCAGATCTCTCCTCCACATTGGAAAGACTCGAGTCTGACTGGAACACTGCCCCCTCGATCTTCTTACGGAAAAAGAGATTGACTCAGTTCGGTTGGAACTGAACCTCCTCTTAAATGACTCAGCGGAAAAACAGCTCCGCTGGACTAAACGGACGTTCTATGCGTGTGCCAACAAACCTGGCCCTTTATTGGCCAACATGCTTAAATCTAAACCGAGAGCCAGGCCCCCGGTCAGACTCCGTCTCCCCAATGGAGCCTTAACGGCTTACCCATCCACCATCCTTGAACGCTTCTCCTCCATCCTCTCTAAGCTGTATGGCAAACCCTCCACCTTCCAACCTCAACAGGCTGATGCGTTGTTTAAGGACGTCGCCCTGCCCATACTCACAGAGAACATGAGCTCTCTTATGGCCCAGGACATTACTCCAGAGGAGGTCCTTCTGGCAATCAAATCCCTTAAACCCTCCAAAACACCTGGCCCAGATGGATTCTCGGCCCTGTATTACAAAAAATATTCAGACACCCTGGCCCCCTGTGACGGACTCCCTGATACCCCGACTGGATATCTCCGTCTTCAGCCTATTCCCTGAGTGCTGGAACTAGAAGCGGTGACTATGGCATGGAAGGCTTACTCCAAGAATCAGACAAGACTGACTTTGGAGTGAAAAAAGAACTGCTTTATTGAGACAGAGCACACAGAGTTTATATCTGACAGGATCAGATAAGCATTCATTGTTACATGGAAGAGTTTCCTCCCCCAGACAGCTAGGTGCCGCATTGTATGGTCTTACTTAGAGAGGAGCTTAATCTCATCACTCTAACAATGGCCCCTCCAGCCAACCTGCTGCCTTTGGAACAATGGTTCCCATCAAGTCACATAGTGACCGGCTCTCCCCAGATAACATAGTAAACTGTAAAATACACACAGCAAACAAAGTTCTCCGGGGTAATGAATCTTTGCAGCCCTAGGTCCGTCACACCCCCCATTTAACGGCCATGTTCAACTCTCTAAAAAAGACTAACAATACCCTCCACCCAGCATCCCTGCTAGCCCATATAGTCATGATCCCCAAACCTACAGACCCATTTCATTATTGAATATCGACGTTAAACTCTTGGCCAAGATATTGGCCACCCGCATGAACACAATCTTACCAGACTTAATACACAGAGACCAAGTAGGCTTTGTACCCTACAGACAAGCCTCAGACAACACCCTGAAAATTGTTCATCTTGTACACCCCATGCACCACGCCAACATCCCCGGAATGCTCCTCTCACTAGATCTCCAAAAGGCATTTGACTCTATTTCCTGGGAATACCTCTTTTATGTCCTCCGCAAATGGGGATTTCCAACCGACTTTCTCCTCTGGATCAAAGGGCTATACAGGAAACCAACAGCCACCTCAGCCAGCTACCTCAGTTATCTCTCCCCCACTTTCCCAATTCTGGGTGGTACTCGTCAGGGTTGCCCCCTCTCACCCCTTCTTTTCCTCTTAGCCATCGAGCCTTTAGCCCACTTAATCTGAACTAACCCCAATATCCACGGTATCACCAAAGGAACAGCAGAATATAAACTCCATATGTTCGCAGACGACCTGTTACTCACCCTCTCCCAACCCATCATCTCCCTCCCTAACTTATTCTCACTCTTACGCTCATTTGCCCAAGTCTCTAACCTAACGGTCAATAATGATAAATCCTGTGCGCTTAACATCACACTGCCATTCCGGCAGGTGTCCGACCTCACCCACAATTTCCAATTCCAATCCAATACAATTCCCACCTAAAATACCTTGGGGTGCACATCTCCAACACCTACGATACTCTCTATGCCGCCAATTACCCCCCGCTCTTTGGCGCCCTCAAGGACCTCTTGTCCTCCTGGACACGACACAACCTTTCCTGGATGGGCAGAATAAACGCGGTCAAGATGACTATCCTCCCTAAGTTGCTATACCTTTTCCGCACCTTGCCCATTCCCATCCCCCGCAAAGCCCTAGCGCAATTCCAGGCCCGGGTTGTGTCCTTCGTCTGGGGTACAAGACGCCCCAGGGTATCCAAATTCACTTTACACACCCACAAACGTGATGGAGGCCTAGGCCTCCCTCACTTTCACAAATATTACATAGCGGCACATATCGCCTCAATAGTCTGTTTTTTTCAGTCCCCGAGCAATCCACTATGGGTAGACCTTGAGGCGGCGTCATGCACACCATACTCTTTATGTTCCCTACCCTGGTTACCCCCCAGCCTCCGCCCTCCCTCCATGAGCCCCATATTGGCCCACACTTTCTCCC